AGGGAGACACAGGCAGAGATAGGGAGGGAGACACAGGCAGAGATAGGGAGGGAGACACAGAGGCAGGGGATGCTGCGTCTGCTAACTAGGAAGATACAGTGAGCGCATTGCGTTTTCAGGTGAATTAATATCCTGACCAGAAAAGGGTCAGAGTTTGCACAAAGATATGGGCAGCTTCTGACCACTCCCCTCCGCATTTCCCTCTCGATGAGCTACAGAGTAAGCTCACTGCTTGCTCCTTACAGGTGGGGCTGGCAGGGCAGCCCTTACAAGCGCTGCTCGAGTGCGTCTCCTGGGGGAGGTCCGATGACAGAATGAGTGGTAAGTTGGCAATTTCTCTGCATATGCGTCCCAGCCATGCACTCATACCTTCCTTTAAAATTCATGGGAGAAGTCTGTGGAATTCATACATTCAAAATACTTGTTGGTCACCAACTGTACATTCATATGTGTAGATTACAGAGAAAAGTGTCTTGTGTGTGTGGCTGTGTTGGTGCCTTGTGTGTGTGCACATGTGTATGGATGTAAACACACACACAGGACACACTGCACTGTGATGGGAACATAGTGGTGCACAAAATGCCCATGTTAGTTCATCCGTGAACCTGACAATCTGAAACAGGGACAGACATTAGTGAAATGACTCTATTGATGAAAATGTTAGTTCATCAGGTATAATGATCACTATTAAGAAGAAGCATGGGTGCTGGCCGTATCACAGGCGGTGTGGGCAATCTTTCCTGAGGCAGCAAAGTACGAAATCCACCACCATGTGGTGACCTGGTAAAGAAACAGATGGGCATGACGGGGCTAGGAAAGCGCTTTCCAAGAAGAGGCACCTGACGGCACCTGCCACTGCAAAGGACTGACAGGCCAGCGGCACAGTGGCCAGGGACAGCCTTGTTTCTTTCTCCAGGTGTGCTTGGAGCTTCTCCGTGCCTTTTGCAAATGTTAGGCCTGTACGGCCAGCTTCTCAATGACAGAGAGTTACATTGAAGTCACGTAATTATGATACTGGGTTTATAAGACTGAAGGGGAAAAATATGGGAAGTCAAATACGATAAAATCTCCTACTTTAGACAATTATGTCAGCCATGTCTGATGACCATAGATGTCCATTCATTCAACCACTACTAACTGAGCCTCTCCCGTGATATGGAAACAGGCCCACGTGTGGGCATTTCTCTTAACTAATGCTCAGGCTAGCTGGGAGACAGTCTACAAATAAACACGGCATCTGTCAGAATGAGATCTCAGCCAAACTGAGAAGATGGTGGCATGAATTTGTGTATTTTTCTGGGCTCTGATCTCTCTTATTGTAAAAGTGTAACTACCAAGCTGATCAACTCCTGAGAGATGTTTGTTAGTTCATACAAAAAAGCTCCAGATGTCGGTGACTAGTGTGAGAGATTAAGAGGAACATGTTTGGACTCCCTGCTTGGTGGTTAGT